AACAGTCATTTTGACTGTATGAGATGTAACGAAACTATCGAGCCTTTTCGATCAGATATTAGTAAAACGATTATTTCAAAATCATGAAAATGATAACTCTTGAAATAACTCGCAGAATTTAGGCAAGTTTAATTTTAAGGGTTCGTAATACAGATAATGATTTTCTATTTTTTTTTATTTTATTAAATATTTAATTTCAAAAAGTATACTTGCCGTTAGAAATTAAAATATTACAATATACAATAAATGAAATCTCACTTGAATTTTCACTGATTGTCAGGGAAATTTAACGCCATTTGGGAAGAAATAAAAGCGCGATAGTTTCAGATGCATTTTTGTATATTGTATATATACATATGTATGTACATTCACATTGTTCATTGTAAAGTACATGCACTGTCCTATAATACCCGTAGTTAGCGAAAAAGAAGAGAAAAGGAGAAGTGAAAACATTGATTATACCATATGAAAGTGTATTAAAAAACGGGTGTGCGCGAACCGACATCGCTAACCCGCTAGTGACAAGTAGACAAAGAAGAATATTTAAATTAACGGGGGAGAAGAGATTCCTGTAATACATATATCCCGCGCGTTTAAATTGTTTTACTTTTGTCGTCGTAACTCCGACGTGGTTCGAATTACGTCGAATGCCCTAAAGCGAGAAGAAAGAAAAGAGGCGGTCGTATCAGTAAGGAATATTTCAAGATTTGATCCTTGACTTCACGAAAACGATCATCGAAAGTGTAGCGAAATTTCCGTCTTGAAGCCAGTTCAATGGATACATGCAAGCAATATATATCTTCACACCGATTGCATCACGACGAACGAGTATCTGAAGCAAAACTGAATATATAGGAACTCTAAATGTATAGGAACCACATACTTACATATGCATTATCTTCCTCTCTCCCTATAAAAATATATATATATATATATAAGAAATGTACTTTATAATTTTATTACGTTACTTATCGATTGCATATATTTTATGTGTACTTATCTTACTCGATAGGTATTGGCACTGCATAGTTTATATGAGACATGTTGACATTATGAGAAAGTTTATCGCGTATATACTCGAGTCGAACTGTTGCCGGATAAAGCCCTCTACACACGTTGTACATAAATATATAAGTAAAAGAAAAAAAAAACGGAAAAAAGTAAAACGATCGTGTGTTTATTGTAAAAGATTTAAAGAGAAATAAAGGAGGGAAAAAGAATAGGAAAGTAAAAAAAAAAAGGAGAGGATCCTTTACACAGATCGAACAGTATTGCAGTGTTCTGCTGCCGCTTTAATATTTTACTATGTCGTATTTACTTTAAATGCACAATGACCACATGGCACACAATGCGTACGTCTAATATATATATATATAGAATACATATATATTTAGCCGATGAGAATGAAAATGGTGCGAGGCAAGAATTAGAGAATAATTCTGAATCGGCGGTCTGGCCATACCGCGATGCTCCGCTCTCCTTAGTTTAATAGCGAAATTTGATAGAGTATAAAAGCGACTTACACCGCATTCATTCTATTCGGCTGATAATGCGTGTTATCAGCAGCAAAAGATGCACTCGGCATCCTCGATTTACGTTCGCTTTGCGGAAACAGAATGGTACTTGAAACGCGTTCTCCATCTCCGTTACCAAGAGTAACTCTTTGTAATTGCATCTCGTAGAAGATAGATCGCAAAAGACTGAATAAGCGAACTGTGACGAAAACACAGTGAGACACGTATGCGACCCATTGTGAATAGATAAAAAATATGCGCACAATACTTTGGCTATAAAGGAGTTCCCATTGCTGCAAAATAGAAGATAAGATAGTTATTTCAGATGGCACGTAAAAGCGAGAATCGAACCGCGAATGCAACTACTTCGTCTTACTCGTTGATCAATGGAGAATGTCTAAATGCTATTAGAGATTTGTTCTGTTTCTGCAGTATATTTCGAACAGAAATGCAGTTTAACTTTCGACTACAGCAACGGGTTATTTGAACTCAAAGTGAAAAATTTTAGACACTACTGATACAATTTGTATGATTGCTATTATGAGGTTCTAAATTGTAAGTAAAAAATTTTGAACCTTTCTCTATCAATCGTTGTAAGACGAAGGTTCACTGGTAATCCGTACTTCAATCAGAACGCTTTAAAACTTAGATGTAGTTTTTATAGCTGTAGTTGAAGATTAATACTGATTAATGTTTAATACTGGAAGTTACTTATTTTAAGTATTAAAAGTACTGAGCAACAAAATAAGTAATTAATCACTACCTTCCACTATTAAATTTCTGTAAAAGGATGACACGAAGCGCGAGAATATTCTTTCTTCCAAAGAATACGCAAAATTATTCGATCATCGAAAATTCTCGGTCATCAGACAATGTTTTTAAAATATTTTTAATATTTATTTTATACTAAACATATAAATATTAAAAATATATTTTTAAAAAATTGTCTGCTGTTTGGGTCCAGGATTGACTGCGAGATATTCTCGTCTTTGCAGAGTATATCTTTGGAAAGTATTCCCAGAGTACTTTCCGAAGAATATTCTCTTCGAAGAATAATCTGAATATTTCCGAGACGCTTTTCTCGGTAAAAGTTCTTTTGAGAAGTATTTTCGTGCGCGTCCTTGGACGTGAATCACGGGTGACGGGAGTGCACTCTGCTGTCAACGACTTAATAATCGTAATACCTACGGGCTTGGCATTTGTCGGGATATAGTGCGGCGTTTTGCGGCGCGTTCCATTTAAAATGGGGCCGCGCCCTGGATTTAAATCACCTCTAGGCTGTGAGATGCGAGCTAAGCAGCGGACAAACTTGCTCGAAACCTCAATCATATGTGTCAAATCAAGTATAAATCTACTTTTAATGTATATCGTATAACCAATTAAAAAAAAAAAGAAGGAAACCTTTTACCAAAGCTCCCCTGACGGGAGAATACACTTGACTTAGTTCTCTCACTCCAAAAACTGCGACGATTTCTTTCTACCCTTTGGGACTCGAATAAAGAGATATATTTATTGACTCCCACATGGGAAAGAGAAAAGAGAAATAAAATATTGATATATATATAGAGAAATAAAGGTGTTATTAAATATACATACAGAGCGGACCTGAGGCGAGAATATGGAAGTCGACGAGAGTAACGTGTCCTCGAATTTGTGGCAATTCTTTTTTTTCCTTAGCACATTAAGTATTTTGATTTAAGTATCTATCTTACTTGAGCATACCTTATTATTTAAATTTGCACATTAAAACAAATAAGACTTTGTGTCACTTGCATCTTTAATATCGAACGTACTTAGTACTCTCGATTTTAAATATCTATGTACTTATACGGTTGAAGTATTCATTAAGGAAGATTTAATCCCAAATTCGTCGACACATCCCGCCTCTTTTGGTCCACATTATATATATTATAAATATATATGTATACTATATGTATACAAGGTGTCTGCTTTCTCTTGACAATAGATATATTATATGTATTGCAATGAATGAAATTAAAGAAGTGCGTTTTAGAGAAGCGAACGAGAGGCAGCTATGCCGACAAAGAGATGTGATTTCGAAAAGATCAAATGAATACTGCGTACCGATGATATAATTGTATATTATTTAATTTGCGTGCGACGAACGAAAACTGATATACGTCATTTCGTCGAGTTCGTCGTATTGTACCTCGTGTGCGTTTTAGTTTACTTTTAATTAGCCACTTAAAGTACGGCGAAACGCCGCTCGTAACTGACGTTAGGAGGAAGTAAAATACGGTTGCGAGACACCCTGTACACACATACGAGATACGAGATAATATATTTGTAGATACAGATTTTAGTCACATCTGGATAGTATATAGAGTCAATACTGTGAAAAACGCCTGTAAAACTTACTTACCTATACCCTCTAGCTAATAGATAATGACACTTGTAATTGATTTTCGAAAAACAAAGTATATGAATGAACAAATATACTGCGAGAGAGTCGATTAAATAAATAAATGATATACCTATGACTAAACGTATCGATTTATATCATCGTCATTTCCCGAATCGTGAATTTAATTTAATTTCACAAAGTCTACTTTTGATTTAATTTTATTTGATGATGTGTCTACTTATTTATTATTACATTTCCTCTAATATTTTTTATACGATTATCGTCTTGATATTCTCTTTTTTCTTAGAAGAAAGATATCACTTCATATACATATCTATATACAATATACATAGATATATATGATTTTATATACATAATTCGTTTAATTCTTAATTAAAAGTTTGATGTTATCATATAATTCATTATCTTTAATATGTTTTTATATAATAAAAAATTATTAATTCCATTCAAGTTAATAAAATAACATTATATATTTCTTGATAAATTAACCACCATAATGTAAGCGTCTCTAACAACGAAGTTCACTTCGAACGACTCGCGATCAACGGACAAACGGTTATGAAGAAGAGGCTTGGTAATCAGGATAAAGCGAGAAACACTCTTTTGCATACCGCATAAAGCATGTGCATAAGGAATTTCATTGGCCCATTTTCTTATGCATGAGTCAATGGATTAATCAAATTCTTTATACACATGCTTTATGCGTTATGAGTTCCGAAGAACCACCCGACCGATGCGGACGCGTTTCGGATCGGGTGCTCTTCTTGTATATTTTTGAAAGTGTTGCCGACTTTAACTGTGCGTTGACATCCTCGTTGATGTGTGTCCGTGGGTGACTCGGCTCGGTCGTCCGTCCTGACGCGCGTTAATGCGGCGTGACGACGTCGTAGACAAACGGAACCTGGGCCAACTAAATCACGAAGAAGAAGACGTCGTAGCTGCAGGCGCCCGGTGTTCGTTCGGGTCGCGCCATTTTCGCGGGCATTGCATCATCTTCTTTATTTCCAAAACTCTTTTTGACTTTTGTTACTCGCCGCCTTTGGCGGCAGCTTTTTGATATTGGCCAGTATCGTCCCAGTTAGGAATTGTGGACGGGGCCATTAAACCAAGATTGATTGATTAACACCGCAAGCAAGACGAGCACCAGCATTGCCAGTTGTTTTTGACAACTCATGGCCACCTTGGCCCAAATCGTCCGGATCAGCATGAATCACAAGAGTTTGTCCAATAACACTGTGTGTTCCATTAAGCTGAATTATAAGGCCTCTGTACACGGTCAGTAATACTGTCAGTATCAATGAATATTGACAATATTATTGATTGTGTGTGGTTAATATTAATGGATTGACGTAGAATACTGACGATGATTTGGACTTAAATACATGCTTTTTCCTTAAGATCCATAGATAATAATATACGTCAAATCACGTCAAACTGAAGTGAAATATTATCAATAATACCTGATCGTATAAGATTATAAAAATTAATGTATACTGTCAGTAATACTGATCAGTATAAAAAAGTACTACTAGTGTCACTATTAGTGCAATATGCAGAAGTAAATTCGCAAAAAAAAAATAAGATATAAAAAAATTTTGATTAAAAATACGAAATGATTAAAATAATTGATTAAAACCGATTTTTTAATTCAAATTTGTATTAAAATAATTTCCGCAAGTGCGGGAATGCGATTACTGTAGATTGCACTACTCCCAGTAGTGATACTATGTGCTTTCCAGCAAGGACAGAATCAGACACTGTGTAACACAGAGAATCATTTCATTCTCGTTTAACGTAGGCAAACAACAGGGATGCAATGATTCACTGTGTTACACAGTGTCTACTTGTGTCGTAGTTGGAAAGCAGCCACTATTAGTGCCACTAGTAGTAAATTTAATACTGCACTTCTATACTTATAATACTGACTCAGTATTATTGACCGTGTAGGGAGGCCTTAACTTTTGCTACACCATCAGTACCAGCTTCCACATTTCCTAAATCATTGGTGTTATCGCCAAATTCATGAACATGAAGATCATATAGCTCTTTCTGCAAACCAGAAATCTGTCCAGATATCTTGACCGTATTTGAACCTTCCGCTTGTTCAAAATACACGGTCCCTTTAATAGGCTCTCCCTGAAGGACACGGACTGCCTTAATCGTTATTATATCACGAATGTATTCCAATCTATTTAAGCTTGCCCGAATGAAATATTGACAACGTTGACGATGAACTGCACAATAACTCACGATTTACACGAGAATTAAATAATCAAAAACTGCTGTATCGCGTCGGCTGGTACGCTTACAATAATTAAGTTAATCGTAAAATTGATCAAAGTCACTCTAAATTTTTTATGTACGTGCATTATTTATTTCATTGTATTCCATTGTATTTTTTATCCATTTAAAAAGACCAGGTTCTTCATCCAAGATGGCGCAAATTGAAACTTCCTGCGACCTCTTGCCTCTTGTATATACGTACGTACTACGTAGTATGAATGTGATGTAATACAGCATATATAAGCAGAGCTAAAACTAACCTCACTGTCAGTTTGGATTTGAACAGGTTTAGAGAATTGGTGTTTGTAAGAGATTCTGGATTATACGTAATCATCAAAAGACATCATGTCACGGTACGATATTTTTTTTTATTGTATTTATCAAATCTTGTATCCCGTAATATACAAAATTATACGATAGGTCAAGAATGAGCAAGAACTCAGATGTTTAGATGCATTAATTTTTATCCACCAGGAACTTTGATATTAAAACTTCAGATTCTTATTTGTCACAAAAGAACTTGTCATGAAAAGCAGTTAGATTTCATTTCATTTATTTGCACAAATTCTTATTTTGTGCAAAATTATGAGGTTAATGTCTCATAGAGTTCTGTCAATGACAGTTCTTTTATAAAAAAGAAATGATATGTTTTCGTAATTGTTCACAGTTAATAATATAGCTTTAAATAACTATTATTGTAATTTAGTGTAATTTGTTGTAATTTACTTTTTAGAGTACCAGTTGTCCCAGATAATTCAGCTACGCTGGGGGATAGACCTATGACTATAGCGCGTCGTATGGTACGTGACAGAGAACGAATGCTAGGAATGACCGACGAGGAGCGGGCATGGAGAAAGAAATGGTTAGACGCTCAGAAACTCGCGCCTGAAGAACCGGTGTATCCCAAGGGTTACTACGAACAGATGTACAATCCAATCAGAAGATTCTACAAAGCACCTATGAACAAATTCGAGAATATGTTGACACCAACTATAGTAATAACAAGAAAGATTTAGTTGATAATCCACTAAATATAAAGCAACATTACACAAACATAAATGATTCAATAACATAAATATAACAGAAATGTATTATAAAATAATGACAAAAATCTGAATTTTTAAATATAAGCATTTTGAGTATTCAAGATGATTTGTGTAAAGTTACATTACGATGCAAAAATTAATTATTTTGTATATAAATAAAATATTTATTTGTTCTAAATTTTTATAACTATAATTGATGATCACAATGAAACTGTCATAAGTCATTTATTTGAATATTTAAAGTATTTATATAAAAAATATTAGATTTTTGTTATTATTTAAAAAATTTTAATTTAGAACAATAAAAGTAGTAACAATTAAAGTAAATAAACTATTGAAATGCGTTCAATAAAAATGAAATATATACACACTAGTGACACAAAAAAAGATTAATAATTCCTGCTTTTTTACAGGGTAGAACTCCAGCGGCCATAACGCGACACTTAATAAGCAAAGTAACGATGGCTGTTTTTGCACTTTATGCGACCTATTATTATATGAAATATAATAGAATGGTAACTACGACAAAAATATATTTTAACATACTAAATGCAATGTTATATTTAATAGAAATGTCATGTATATTGTATGTATTATTTGGTTCTTTTAGGACTGGATGAGAAACGGTGGGTGGAAAATCACAGTATCTAGACAAAAAATGTACCCTGACACCAAGGACTTAAACGTTTTATACAGAACGAAAGGCAATCAATTCTTCGTAAATGGTTTCGACAAATCTCCTATATAAACCTTACAGATATGTTATCTTCTTTGTATAGTTGCTATTTGATAAACATCGTTAAATGTTCCTAAAAGGAACAAACACGATGTTATTAATAAATATCATTAGTAATAAATTATTAATGTTAATTTTGCTTATAAGACTTATATTTAAACCTCCGATTTATTGTTTCAAGAAACAATTTCATTTGTGCATTGCGAATTTTCAAAATTCAAGTTATTTATATTTTAATTTATCTTACCCCTTTACCAATATTTCAACAGAATGTGCCATTTATCAGATATCACGAGAATAATATTATATATTAAACTTTATAATATGAATGAAATCTTTCAAACTTCATAGATTATATGAATATCTCTTGCAATGTTTCTCGGCTGTATGCTATGTACAAAAATTATTTAATATTTATCTCGTGAAAATTTTCTCAGAATTTTTATATTAATTGAAGTTAGTAAGACTGCATAATATTTGAAAAAACAGCTTGAACTTTTTCAGATTTTATAGGATTTTATCATAAATTATAGAATGAGAAATCTTGAAGTCTTAAAATACTTTTAGAATTTATATGAAGTATTCTAAAAAAAGATGTAGATTTTTTTGACAGTTTCGAAAACTATTGCATTTTATATAAAAAAAATCTAAAGAATTGTATAGGAAATTATAAATTTATTTAAAAATTCTAAAAAATTACATGAAAAATTTTATCACTCGTATTTCTTATTAAATCAATTGTGGATTATATAATTTATAATGCAAGTAGTATAATTTTAATCACATGAATAAAACACTTTTCTGTTATTTGGTGTGTAAAACACATTATAGACATAACTCAGTGAATTATACATATAATTCAAAATTTTGTTATAATTCTGCCAATTGAATTATCTGCCAAAGATCGCCCTGCTCCGATCAGCTGTTTCAGACAAAAGGATCACACGTGATCAAAATTGACGAGTCGTCCCGCGGTCCCGAACCAAAGCATTACTGTCTACACATCCCATTGTCTACATGAGTTTCTAAAGAGCAAAAAAGTTAACAAAATATGTATATACTTATTTAACAATTATTCTATTCTAAATAAATCATAATCCATGTGGACAGTGAGATGTGTAGACAGTAAATACTTTGGTTCGGGGCGGCGTAGCCGCCCCGAACGAAAAGAAATAACATATCCTATCCGCTTGGGGCCTAATCGCCTAGAATTACAGCCTAGAGACTAGATAGTATCCACTTGCAATATTTCTAACCTATTTTAAATTTCATACATTTTAAATTTCGTTCCTATTGGACCGAAATGTAACGAGACGCATGCGCATAAGATCGAAATGCATGCAGAAGATGGCATTTGTAGGGCTGTGACAGATTTCCTAACCTCAATCGTCGGCAATTCGCGAGGCAGAGCGACGCTTATTTCTGCCAGATTCTTTCGTTTTATGTAAAAACGCGTCGAATAAGTATAATTTAACCGATTTTGATTGGTTATTTTCCATTGCATCTTTACCCTCTGCAAAATGGCTGAGACTCCTTTGAGTTTGGGCGAGAAGACATTTATTATTCATGGAGTTGATGTGAGTGCATTCAATAGCGTTTATGTTCACGTGCAATTGTTTCCTAAGATCCGGTGCATTTATTATTTTCGAACACTAACTGTTGCCACTGATCTATTAGTCGCCAAGTTTCTGATAATTTCAGATTATTAGATATAGATAAAAATTAATGCTCTCTTTGAAGAACATTTTTTTACTTATATTTTATACTCAACAACTAAATCTCTGGAACTTTTGACATACATTATATGTTGTGATAATTGATTTATTAATTTCAGCTTGATCTCAGAAATGATGGTCGATCCAAGTTTCAGTATCGTCCTATCGAGATCGAAACCAAGCTGATGAAACATACCCATGGATCAGCGAGATTACGCATAGGCAACATTACAGATGTATTAGTCAGTGTAAAACTTGAAATTGACGTACCATATTCTGAAAGACCAGATGAAGGCAAATTGGAATTTTTTGTAGACTGGTACACATACACTTTGGACTTATAGTTTAGATTAACATCGAGCTTACTTTGAATATCTTTTCCAGTTCTGCTAACGCTACACCGGCATTCGAGGGCAAAGGCGGAGATGATTTGGCTACTGAAATTAGCAATATCCTTTCCATGGCTTACCAGACACCAGACGCCTTTAATTTGAAGCAACTGTGTATAATACCTCATCAGAAATGTTGGAAAATGTATGTGGACATTTTGGTAAGTACTTTTGGCACAATATAGTATCCTGTTCTATTTAGCTGAATTTCTTCAATGTGGACAGGAAAAGAGGAAAGATATAAATCATACAAGAAATTCAGCTGAAGAGAACAAATTTAAAATTGAGTTTAAAATTCTGTTACCTTTTATTCACCTTTTCAGATCCTTCAATGCGGTGGAAATTTATTCGATGCTGTAGGTGCTGCAGTGAAGGCAGCATTGTATAATACTGAAATTCCAAAAGTGATCACAGCCATACTCGATGGTGGAGAACCAGATATTCAGGTATCAGACGATCCTTACGACTGCATTAAACTGGACGTTACAAATTATCCAGTAGTACTAACAGTATGCAAGGTATGCAATAATTCTTAGTCAGTTTTAAAATAAATTAATTATGATAACACACACACACACACACACACACACACACACACACACACACACACACACACACACACACACACACACACACACACACACACACACACACACACACACACACACACACACACACACACACACACACATATATATATTTATCTAAGAAACAATAAGGAAACACATTTACTGCTTAAGATATTTCTATTAAAAAATTCAGTCTCTCTTTGTAATTTTTTATTAATTACTTTGTACAGTTTCGGCAATTAAAATTCAATGTTTAATTAATAAAAATGTTAATTGCTACGCTGAAAAATAGTGAACATTTTCTTTAACAGATTGGAGACAACTTTGTGATAGATCCAACGTCGGAAGAAGAATCTTGCAGTACCGTTAGTATCCTTATGTCCGTGATGCCGAACGGCAAGGTGACGTCTGTAGTCAAACTGGGATACGGCAGCTTGTTGCCTACCACCTTGATTAACATGTTGCAGGTGATAATAGTTTTTATATGTGTTAATTATTGTATACTGTGGTTAAAAGCAAATTTTATGGAATTTGTTTTTGACTCTGGAATTTTGGTTTTACAGATTGGAAAAGATATCAGTTTCAAGCTAAACGAAGCTCTTATGAAGGGATTGGAAGAGGAAAACAAGCTCGGTCCAACAAAACCCATATTTGGATTTCTTAGATAACAGTGCGCGATACGTTGTTATGGATTTTGAAAAATACAAATATATTTTTTTCAAATTCTTAGTTGTGGACTTATTAGACTGCGCAGTATTTCTCGCTATTTGGTTGTAATTGTTACGACGCGACATTTCTCAAACTCTAACAAATAGCATTTTTTATATTTAAAAAATTTTAAGACAGCAATGAGAATAAGATTGCAAAATAAAGTATCAATATCATAGTTTCAATAGCACTATTGAATATAGTGTGACAATATTTAATTTAATTGTGGAAATTATGTATGTGTGTGCGTGCGATTTTATAGAGCATATGAATTTGAAAATTAGACTTTGGAAGAAAATCCTCATAAAGCGACATGAAAGATATGTGTATGCATAGAGTAATCAGTCAAATAAACGATACCAGAGTCATGTGTATAAGTTTCAACATACACACACGCACACATAACTGTACTATTCTTTTTTAATAATAATTGTCCCATCTTCTGTAATTCGGGAAAATACATAAAAGTCTCTTAAAACTTCAATAATTTTGAACTCTGAAATTTAGCGGCGCTCATTTATCGATTCCACGGCATTTTCTTTCTTTTATTCTTTTTACATAGAAAACTCACGTCGCGCTTTATCCGAGGCGTGTTCAACTGTTTGTACTTTAATTGTTAACATTGGCCTCCACTCGCTTTGATTACATCTTGACAGGCGGATTATTGAGTGCTCGATAATCAAAGTCGATAAATGACACGCGCGCGATGAAGTCGGCTCCAGTGAATGTACAGAAAGTAATACGTTTCTCGTCCACAAGAATTAACGTTGAGAAAAATAATTTCTGACGCGATTATTTCAATAATCGGCACTCTGTTTTACAGTAGGATAAGAATACTGTCGTATAAATATCCTCCATGAAGTCAGTTCGTTATAATATGGGCAGGGAAGCAGAAAAATTCGCACGAAGCTCGAGCTATGATAACGAAATCCGTTGTTTCATTTCTTCTCATATTTTTTTTTTCAACGATTCCTTAAATAGAGTGGCTATTACAATGATTATGTTGAAAGTAGTGCTGAAAGTAGTGAAAGATATCTTTTCTTTTAGTTTCTTATAAATATTCTGTTCTTATACACAGTAGCGTTTTTCTTCCTCTTATGAATTTGTTAATAGTTTGTACAGAGGTCCTAGCGTAAGTAATTCTTACAAGATAATAGAATCGTTCTCTAATATGTAATCGTGTGTGTAGTTACAAGTTCGTTAACGCGTATGTATATATGTATATATAGATCGAAAATCGGATATCCGATTTTAGCAGCGGTGACATCGTCGAGCGACATATAGGAACCTTCCTTTCACACACACATTCTCTCTTTTTCTTTCTCTCTGGCTCTTTTTCGCAACTTGAAAACAATTGAACTTGATGAGGACTAAATATCGCATTTTTGCATGGTTATCAACGCGAAATTAACTTCTCGCATGTAAAACAACGTTGGATACGAATGCATTTGTTATTGCATCATGCAGCGTATTTAAGTCGGAATCTTTGATTAGTTTGATTACCATAAATAAATTATAGAACGCCAGTCAATTTTTATGAATAAAAACAAATTGGATATCGATCTCGAGAGTTTTTAATTTTTAATTCACAATGAGAAATAAGCATTTTTAAAATTTTATATGTTAATTGTGATTTAAATAAAGAAAGATATCATTTATTTTTCTTAATTGTTTATTGCAAGTATTGACTTAGATAAATATAAATAAGAAAAAATTAACGAGTGTTAAAACGTTATATAATTTAAAACATGAGTTCATATTAAACGCAATTTATACAGAGAAAAACACTTGTTTTTTTTTTTTGTAATTCTCATTGTTCCTCGCAAACTGGTTCGCAAATATTACGTTGGATAAATAGAAATGAGGAAAAAATAACAAATGTTGAATCAGTTTGAAACATGAATTTATATAATGAATATCTTTACGTTTAAAACAATAATTGTCATAAAATTTTTGCTCCTAAAGAATAGAAACTGTTCGTGTACTTTAAAAAATACGATAAAAATGACTCAAATACGTCGCTTACGTATCTAAATATTCGCGGGTTGCAAGCACAGCTTGCGTGTTAGATCCAAGATCTATAACGGAGAAGAATCATTTACAAGGCCATGCATTTACGCATAATCTGTGAAAGTTCATTTCTTTGAAATTGTTACTTCTTTTTTTCACTCCGGCATCCCCTCGTCGTTTCTATTACATTTTTATATACTACCGTCGAAGCTTATTTAATAAGTAACAAATCAGGATCGCGATAACGTGGAACGCTATATCGCCTCCCTTTTCTAATAACAAACTAAACTTAAACTACGCTAACAAGTGAACTCGCGAATTACTATCATCGAGACGTTGTATCATTAACACGCTGATTCCAGGCGGAATAAAGATACCTCGGATTAGAAAAATTGGTGAAGCCATTAGAGAGTCGCGATAAATTTAAAGAGCGCGATATCATCGAGAAAATAAGAATTCTTTTTTAAATAACGCTGTAGAAATCGCGATAGTGTGCAATGTGGTAATCAACGTGTCAATTATCTGCTATAATTCAAGCTTAGACAAACCTAAATCTCGTATCTCTCAAAGCGATCGCTTTACGAAGGTCAATCGCTATTCTAAATCGCAATTTATCAACAATTATTACGAAATTATCAATGACGGTAATTGCGTATATCTCCGAGGAGGAAATATTTAAGCATAATCTCAAAAATCAGTTTTGTCAGTTCCTTAAGTACGTTAAAGCTACGTTATTTACGAATTGATAATTCGCGCGCATGTACATAAATATATGAATATGTATTCATATATTGCAGCGAGTCTCGGAAGAAATGTGCTCGACGACATTGAAATGCAGTCAACATTTTTTAGTTGACTGAACTTTGGTCTCTTTTTTTGATTTGCAGCATTAAATAATTTTGGCGCGACTGGGCTCCTAAATAATAAATATCTCTCTGTTAAAATTCACCGATCGTCGGCCGTGCAACACGATTTATGTATATTATTGAAGGTATGTACAGTTTCTCGAAGCCTAATTCGCCAAAATTCTTTAACTTTCGACGACACATAATTAACGATTTCGAGGTTTCAAACGAGGTACGCGACTTCTAACAAGATATCTTCTATATAGATACAGTAACCCATTTTAATGAATGCTGTAAAATATTTCCTAGATTGAAAGCGAAATACATGCATGCTTTGTATTTTATTTGCTTCGATAGGAATATTATTATGTGGAGCAAAAAAAAATAAGTGTCCCGATCATTTAATGCGAAATATTTCACTGCATTAATTACAACGGGACGACTTCTTTTTTATTTATAGATAATTGTATATGTATACGCATATGTATATTTATATCTAATTTATATCTGTGTAATTGTATGTATATACTTATATTTGCATTTGTCTTTGTATTTATATATTTATGTTCATATGTATATTCGTATATATATTTATTCATATGTTCATATTTATAGTTGCATTTATGTTCATATTTATATTCGCATTCATATATCCATATTTTTATTTATAATTACTTATATATACATATAAATATGTATATATATATATGTATAATTTGCTATGTGTGTTCAGCAATGCGGCTCTTTTTGTTTGAGACGTAGAGACATATTTCTCGTTATCTCCTTCACGCGTGGAAACTGAACGACTGAAAAATTGGTGCATCAAAAACTACCTCAATTTTTTGTGCGCATCTAATGCGAAAGTAATCGGAAATGTAATTAAAAAAATGACGGATGACGATGGATGGAAAACGATCACTGTCCGAAAAAGTGCAGATCAAAAGCGTGGTAAGTGAACGAACTAAAAAAAAAAGAGAAAAAAAGAGAATCGATTCACACTCGTTCGACAGCTGTGAATAATCGTGTACTTTATTTATTTAACGTTTAATTAGACTTTCGCAAGTTCAAAATCCACAGTTTAATTCTTTCCACACTTATTATCTCTATTTTAATTTTAATGTCCATATGATTATTATATGTAAGTCGCTCTTCACACTCGATTAATTGATTGCACGTCGTGAGAAACAAATCCCTCTTTTTTTCTGTTTTTTTCCTCTCTTCCTCTTTATTATTAACTTCTTTATTATTAATTTCTTGTACTCGGCGAAACGTAATTGCATATAACTTCCCTAAAATTCACCACACTTTAACCGCAATAAATAATGTGTGTTACTCGCTGCTTATTTAATTAATCAAGATGGTTTTACAATCGGCGACACCTCTCGCCGCACACGAGACGATCCCCACGCCGTACCCCGTAAAATTAGATAACAACAGAGAGACCCCCGAGAGCTACCAACTAATTTTCAATTATCGCACAGAGGGCATATCGTTACTCCAGCACATCGCTTAGCACAAATTACACCGTCGTTCGCTCTTTTTTTTTCTTTCAAACAAGCCTTTTCTTACAGCTCTCTATTCTTATGGCCTCTCTTCGCATATTCACGTTTTCTTTTTGCCCTCGTTAGACGAGCAATCGGCGATCGGAACTGGAATAATCTTGAGTTCCGCCTCTCGAGATCGAAACCGCTATAATTGTAATTGTATGTATACGCGTATGTATGTACATCTGTACATGTGCATATATAGACACCCCTTGTAGAAATTAATACCGAGAGTTAGTAGAAATTTACAGTGGTAAAGTACTAATGGCATTTTAGTGATTATTTGACCAATGCTTAATTATTAAATACTGGCTTATTACTGGTTTAATACTGGCAGCCCTTATAGATACAGCAAACTCTAATTATAAACGGTAATTTCCCGTTCAACAATGTAACTGTTATGTATGATACATGTGTTACAGTTATATTGTGGTTCGGGGAAATTATTACAGTTATTATTAGTTGATGTTTGCTGGGAAAATTTAATTTAATATACTGGAAGTGATTAATTGCTTACTTTGAATTATAAACATTATTGTATATTCAATATTAAAAGCGCTGAACAACAGTGTTTTTAATGTTTAAACTTGAAGAACTTAACAATACAGAAACTTCCCAAGGAAACCAACAAGCCACAATAACTTCAAAATGACGTTCAAGTGAATCGTAACTGATTGAAAAGTGACTTGCAATCTGCATTTTGAGACTATTTTAACATCGTTTTGATGTCATGATGATTTATGTTCTGCTTGAGATTACTGCGACAATCTAAGCAACACACAAAGGAAGTAAACTCAAAATGACTTTATTTTGATTCTTAACGTCAATAAACAGTCAAATTTTGTAACAAAAGATCATCATTTTGACTTTCATGACGTCAAGATAAAGTCATTTTGGTTTTCTCTTGACTTGATATGTTCCTTAGGATTTCCAATATAGTTGTAATACTGGAATGATCTGTGCCGTATGGGAAGCAATTAATCACTACCTTTCAGCATTAAATTTCTGGAAGGGTAAAGGTATATACATACATGTACACGCAAAGTGTTTACATTTAAAGGGAAAATAAGAAAAAAAGAAATCGATCGTATGGAAGATCGGCTGCCCCGAGTGCGCTGCTCGATGGATCTCTGATGGATCTTTTCTCTCTCATTAGCTTCATCAGCCTTCGCGCCGATCCCTTCGGTCCCGGCCGCGAATGATGTGAAAAACGATGTATGCGAAGTCGCGCTAAGTGCGTAATTACGCGCGCGGTTTACTTCCTTCAACACACGATTAATTCGACGGTACTATAACGATTAATGATTAGACCGCGCGCGCTTAACGCGAGGATACCCGGACCCGCCGAGTAAACCCGATTGAACGACGGTGATCGGTAAACAAAAGTGTCTTAGCACGGAAGAAATTACGCCATGTTCAATATATCTGTAAAACGATCATCAACGTTTATTTAAGATACATTTGTTATCGAAAGCATTTAAACTCTTCCCCTTTTTTTCCCCCTTACAGATACCTGATAATTAAATCCGCGCGCGTATTTACCGTATTTAGACGATTAAACACCGACGCAGAGATAAATGGCTTACTACGACAATGATTAGATCGTATGCGATAATCGTGCATAATTACTGTACAACATTTGACGCTTCGCGCGGCGAAAATTACTCATCTTCAATCGATCGAAAGTCGATTCTTACTTTCTTTCGTGAGACATGGTAGCGTGAGACATTCGGCAGGTGACAGAAAGAAAGAGACGTCTCTTTCCCGAACAGGCGAAGAGTCCAGACATCTCCAAGCCACAATAAGTTAAGATGACTTATTATTTTAACGTCATAATGACATTCTGTGATATCATTATGATTTAATTATGATTCTGTGTTCTATCTGATTTTCCAAGCAGTATAACAGGTCACCATAATGTCAAAATGATACAAAATGACTGGAAAGTGATTTTTAAGAATCATTTTGGTGATATATTTTTGATATCATTTTTCTCATAATTTCTGTTCCGCCTGTATTGGATTCTTATCATTTTCGACGTTCGGATTGCATTCTCGCGAATCGTTCACGCTACCGCCTAAGAGAGGTGATCGTCGCATCAGTTACACAAAAGGAAAGAAAAAAAGATAACC